TATATAGATTAATTTTTTCAAAATCTTTTATTTTGAAAAAATAATACTTTTTAAAAATAATAAGTAATACTATATTTTCTTTGATATAGTTTATATTTTTAGTTATTTTATTACATGGAGCTATGGATTTGAAAATCTTTTATATATATTGTATTTTATTTGTATCCATTTTTTAATAGAATTATAATAATTACCACCTATTTAATTTTTTAATATATTAGTTAAACTTAAATTAATATATCTGATCTGATTAATTTTTTTCCAAATATTAAATAGTAATATTCAAATTTAAATATTTTATTTTAATATTTAATTTAATTTTCTTAACTGTTGTATAAGTAATATTATTATTGAAAATGTTAAGATTTTGAATCTTTGAACAAAAATAAATAATATTCCAAATTATCATTAGAAATTTCTTTACAATTAAAAATATTTAAATATATATATATATATATATTGAAGAAATAGACAGTTCTCACATGTTATTTTTATTTATAATTTTAGACTTGCAAATCACAAGATTTATAACTCAATAGTATAATATACATCTCTCTTTGCCAGAAAAAGTTAAATGCCAAGCTCAATAAAGACCCTTCTGTCTAAGCTCCTTAGCATCACTTAAGAATATAAGAAAAAGAAATTTAAAACCTATATTATGCCTTGAATAATATCTAGCTACCTAGAGAAATTTGAAGCCTAACTACATGAAGGTGTTGTAGCCACTATATACAGGTTGGCCTCTCCAAGTTATGACTAGGATTGGCATGCATGCTTTTCAAATATGGCTTGATGTACGACAAGTCAAATGTGTTCCACTTTACACTTTACTTGAATAACTTGCTCAATTAATTAAGTGATTACTACTCTGGCTAGGACATTCAGTGGGAATTAGCATTTTATCCAATTACCTAGTATTTTATCTTCTCTACTTTTTTAGAATTGTGACAGATTACAGGTTACCCAAGCCTGTAGCAGTTACCTACACCTGCAGCAAGTAGGAAAGGAAATAGCTACTCTTTATAAGAAGCTTAGCACACATAGCCACATTATTTAAGTAATTGAGTAGAATTCAGCACAAGTATAGGACAGGGGGAGATAGAAGAGAAGTGTTTGGATGTGTAGTAATAGTTGTTAGTAGTCATTGTCAAATGTTATGGAATTGGAGTTTTTTATAGATGTTGTTACCTAATCTTGTACAATGAACCTATATTGTTAAAGGAGTGAGTAAAGAACTTTCATTGACGTCACTAGCTTATGTTATGGAGGTAATTAAAATCTCTGGTCTTCACATATTATTCTACTAGGTTTCTTCAATCACCAGCATGACACCTGCAAACTAACCTGGCTTATTGTTGGTTGTATTGGCATTGACTATCATATTTCTATGGATATAGTGGGGCATAACTTCTTGAATACTTTCAGATAATAATAGTTGTATACCGATTTCTTAGATATATCTAGTCTAACCATCAACAAGTAAACAACATCAGATTTGGTAATGAGGATCATGTTTATCTTTTGAAGAGGTAAACCATCTGTTCTTTTTCTGTAATACTATAGAAAAGAAAAAAATTTTGAAGCCCATGTCTTGAGAGAAGTTTCTACTTCTGAATATGATCTTGAAAAAAGGGAATCAACTAGTCAAGGGTTGATATTATAGAGGGCAAGTTTTTATAAATGAAGAAGAGGCCTAGAAAGAAATTACTAGAAAGAAGGGAAAATCTAACTTTGGCAAGGAAGGGAAAAAAGAAAGGGGAAGGTATAAGTTTTATATAAAAAGGTATATAGAAAGAAGTAGTAAAAATAAGAAAGAGGGAATGAAAAGGTATGGGAGAGGGGAGGTAAAGGAGTGAAAAGAAGGAAGAAAAAAGAAGAAAAAGTAAACAACTCAAAAGTTTCCTAAAAAGAAAAATTTCAAGTACAGAAGGGGAAGTGGAAAAGAGTTTTTTTTTATATTCAGATATTTTAATTTATGATATAAATTTGCAATTGCATATAAGCTTTTATTAATTATTAATTTATTATAAGTTCATTTTGCCAAGTTGAGATACTTCAAATTGGGATATAATTCTACTATTCAATTAAATGTTTTATTACCAAATTTTGCACTAAAATGTAAATTCAAGTAAACTATAGTTAAAAACAGACATATAATACCTTTGAATTTTTTATTTGAAAAATATTAATAATGTAAAATTTCTAGATAAGTTATATTCAAACAAGAAACTGACTTATGTTCACTATGTATTATTTTTATAATAATTTTTTGATTATTATTATTTAGCTTAACTTGTTTTTATAGAATAAAAACATCACATTTGTATCATAATCAGAAAACAAATAGAGCAGAATAGAAGGATTTATCTATAAATAAGAAATATAAAATCTGTTTAATACTTCTGATATACTAAAATTTTTTGAATGTTTTATAAATAATAGATGTATTAAAAATGCAAAGAATGGTTTAAATTTCAAATCAATAACCAGTTACCTATATATGGGTATATACACTTCTTTTTCTTTCATGTTTAAAAAAAGGATAATTAATTTTGATTTGAAAAAATATTTTTCATAGTTATAGTCTACACAAATATTCCAATTAACAATGTCAAAAGTTGTAACAAATTTTGTAAATCATTACAACTTAATTTCTCAGATGAATATAATTGAACTTGATAATTATACTGAAAAAATATGTAAAGAAATTAAAAATTATAAAGCCTGTAATCATGCTTGGAATAGAATTTAGAAGTTAGGATTTGGCAAAAATTAAACATATATTTTAATTTCTATCCAGGCTTCTGGAAGACATATTACAAATTATAATCCAATTAAAAAACTTGCTTAAAGAAAATGAAAAAAATCTTGAACCCAAAAAGATAAATATGCTAACATATAATTTAGCTAAAACAGCTTCTACTGCAATAGTCCAATCATTATATCTTAAATTGTTCTAAAAAGAATTATGCAATCTTAATGCTAATCATATCACAATAGAATCTATATATATCCTGTTTATTACTCAAAGATCAAATAAAGAACAAGTAATAAATCAGGAACTCCATGAAGATAAGGGATATTATTGTTCCGAATTCTTTTACTTGGAAAATGTTAAAAAGAATTAAGAATTGTAACATTACCAATTCCTCTACAACGCAAAATTTAATCAATGTTATCTATTAGGCCAGCAGATATTGCAAATCTTTGTATTGATTGCTATAAACCATATAATACCAATTGGTATAATCCTAAATATTCTTGGTACTGCACTGGATAAAAAAGATGAACCTAGACCATTAGTATCAATGGAGAAAGATCTACTACTAGCTAGAGAATTATTTATTTGGATCCAGAAAGCAATTTTTAACAAATTTCCATTTCTAATGAGATATAAAGATAATAATGTAAATATTCACCCAATTAATAATTTTCTAGCTATTTATGGAATAAGCTGATTGCATTTGAGAAAAATTGGTTCTGAATATGCTATTGTTATTCATGGAGATAAGAATGATTCCAAACATAAACATCTCTGCTAATTAGCATTAAGACATAAGGTAATTAATATCGCATCAGATCATTACAGTGTGATGAATGACAGATCAAATACCCCAGCATCTAAACAAGAAAATAATGAGATCGAGGATATTATCAATTTATACAGAGAAATTTCTGATTATAATAACTAATCACACTTCTTCACTTTCACCACACTCATAGTAAAATCTTCACCATCACTAGATGATTCAAAACTAGAGCCAGATGAAGATTCGGATGATGACTCAGATGCAGTATCATTTAAAATTTTCTTTTTTCTTTTAACCTTGCACGATATACAATTTCTTCGAGGGATATCCGGGTTTGTTAATGAGTTCATAAATTCTTGATGAACCTCGAGTTTCATTATCTCCAGTAATTGGTGAAGAGAAATCAAAAATTTTTTACCTAATACCTACTTAACAATATTATCAATCCTTTCTTAGTCCGTGGATGATTTACATGATCATCTTCGAATATATGCTATTAGTAATAAAGAAATGCTAATACCTGATTACGTTTTCTATCAGGTCAATAAAATCATTCTCGCATTTTCTCTACGTGAAAAAAATGATGGTCCTTATATACGGGATAGCGTTAAATTTTTCTATTGTAAATTAAGGAGTGCTGATCTTCGTGATGAATTATAATAACGTATTTACCTTAAAAGGGTTATTCCAAAAATCGAAACTTAGACCCATTACAAATCATATAAAAGAAGGCGAGGCAGTTAGTAAACCCTTTTATCTGTCTTGCGCAAAAATCAAATAAACTAATAAAATCTTATCATACTGACCAATATTTACAAAGTTAATGTCCTTGGTCAAACGAGTATAATCCACAAAGTAATAATAAAGTAGGTTGGTTTATGTTTCGGGTTGGCTTCTTGAAACATATCATCACGATGTTAAACTATTTTTCCGCCTCTATAGATGTCCCAAAATAAAACGGACATATTACTTTTGATATATATCAGCATTTTGATCTTCGCCGAAAAAATATTTGACTATCACAAAATAATTTCTCATATCATCAGCGCAATAAAATTTATGATAAGCACCTTCGCGTGCCGAATTCTTGATACTTAGCGCAGTATCGTACTTATAAAGAAAAAATTATTTCTTAAGAATGAGACAGACTGGAATGTTCTAAAAATGAATCGTAGTGGTAAGCGTAATCGGAAATATTACTTATTTTTTTTTACCTCAATTACTAATCTTCCGAACTTATACTTAGGTTCGAAATTTCTTAATCTCAGAGTTCTCTTTCGAGAAATAATATTTTGTATATTTGGGAGGGATATAGATAAAAATTCTGTAAATATGGGTGGGATAATTTATTTCGGAAATCTAGTATAGTAAAAGGGTGTGGAGGTGAGAATCTTGTAGTTAATAGTTGTGATGGGAACAAATTAGTTATGGATATTTTTCGAAAATTTGAGAGAGCAAAGAAATAACTTGATGCTGGGACTCGCGTTAAAGTGGCCTAGGATCCGCGTACTCGTACATTTCATTCTCAAGCATTTTCCTGATAAGAATCATGTGACTTTTAAATAGCTGATCTGTGTGACCTATAAAAAAATTTTTTGAAGTCAGTAAAAATACACGATTATTTTAAGCGAAAATGTACAGAATGGAACATTACCGAGTTTTTAAACGAAAGTAAGGAGGAAACGTTTCAGTTGAAGATTGGTTTGTATTTAAAAAGTCTCGAGACCATAAATGACTATGAACAAGGGAAGAGGCAAGAAAGGGCAAAACTTCTCCTGAATGATTATAGGGAAGCAAGTAGAAGTTCTTTTT